TTTTTTAGTCCAACCAGAGGTGTTCAGGGTCATTCGTGAAAAAATAATTGAAAATATGTAGCCCAACAAATACTGGTTAAATTGAACTGAACTGAGAGATAATGAGCAGCTGAAATGTTAAATATTTGTTATGCTGTAAAGTAGAAGTAGGCTATGGCAATGATGAACCAAACAGTGACTATCAGAAAATGTACTATGATCAAGAGTCCTGTGATAACAACGTTTACTAGTCACAATATTGTTGAGTTGGGAGTTTTGAGGAACTCCAACATTTAACTGAGGAAAATGCACAGGGGAGGAGAGGGAGTGTCAGAGATGCATGAAGATAACCAGATATTGGAGAAGCCAAAAGACAACAAGACAGTTAACATGAGTATGAGAATCTACTACAGCTAAAGCAAGTGAAGGTGGAAGGGGGTATATGGACTTTCTTCCCTACTGGTAACCTTAGCACTGGTTGTGTGCAGTGGTAGCAGAGGAACTAGTTAGACCCAAGAAGGTTGAAAAATTAATGGGAGCAAAAAAAAAAAAAAAGGGGGGGGATAGTGAGTATAAACAACTACTCAAAACATCCAAAAGAGAAAAAACATAAAAATATCAGGAAAGAAAATATTGAAAAAGAAGGGGCAGGTGACATAAAAGTTGCTAGTGTGCCAAGAATACATTTGATTCAGGATGACAGAGATTAAGACAGCTGACATAATATGGGCTTTGACACAGTCTTGTAAACCTTTAAAATGAAAGTGTTTTTGAATTCCTGACTTCCAAGTGTTATATTGTCAAAGGACAAAAGACATTATGCCTTTTTAAAAGGTTTTTAGAGGATTATCCAAATACTTGGTCACATGGAATTCTTACCTAAGAAAAGGTAAATTATGTGTTGCAAAATAAGTAATCAGATAATTTCCCCAAGTCTAGGGGACAGAAAAAGTCTAATATGCTTACAGTTTCTAGGAGAGTGAAAAATAAGTCACATTCTCATGTTATGGTTCCTTTCTTAAAAAGAGAAAAAGGGCGAAATTTGATCTTCAGAAGTCCTGGGAAACTTTTAGACCTAAGAAAAGACTGAACTGGGGTTGGTGAGGAAAGTGGATATTGGGTGAAACTGGATAATTAAGCTTTGCAACTAAAGGTCAAGCATTATAAAAGACAGAGGGAAATAATGAGTGGAAGAGAGGAATTCATGTGCTTAATGCTCTTCTATGTCTGCGCTTAGAACACTGGAATACTTTCCATGTGTTTGATGTATCAAATGTACTCGAGAACATGCAGACCTTTGCACTGGCCAATATTTCAATATTAAAAAGGATACAGGAAAGAAAAATCACTATTACCAAAGGAATAAACTTTTGTCTTTGAAACTTGAAACAACAAATACAAATAAAGCATGAAAAAACATGCTTTGAAGTGTGCTAACAGATCAAGATTGCATTTAGCAAACCACCTTTTCTCTGTTTAGGAACAATCTCACAGATTCCAAAACACAATATGTTAATTAAAGGATTTCAGGTAGCAATCATGGAATATTTTTCGTGACAGATGAAGAACAGATACTCTGAACACTAAAATTGCATAAACACAACAAAGAGACATTGTGTCCCTTTTGCAGCAGCGCAAAGTTAGAGTGAATGCAAATGAATGTGCTGGGGGTAAAATTACACTATTAACCATCTGAAGATTGGGCTCATTACCTAAGAAGGCAAAGCATCAATTTGTAGCATTATAACATTCTGTTTGTGCTGCTGAACACGTGTGTGGATGTTTTTATATATTCTCTACTCATTTGGGTGCATGGTAAGCACTTTCGCATCAGCCTCTTGATAAAAGCTTAATTTTGTATTGTTTCGGTTACATTGTTTTCTCTAATGGGAATGATATTCTGTCTTAAAAATAAACACTCCATTTATTCTCCAAATAATTCTGAGTTCAGGTTCTTCTGTTTCTCATTATCAAATGGCCTGTACACTATTACAGATATATCTTATTGAGCACACTGATTTGAAAAAATGTATATTTGAATACCATGAGGAATATATTCATTCAGTCAGTCACTCATTCTTTCACTCTGCTAATGCACATGTATTGGGCTAAGAACACTGGGAAATTCACGGATGGATGCAACACTGTCTCTGCCTTCAGGATGTTTCTAACGTCAGAAGTGGTAGAGTGTTATTAGTACCTTCAGGACAGGCATAGAGCTATCGAATATCCGAGGAAAGAGACAGCAGTGTATTCCTGCCTTCTACAAACTTTTTTTGTTTTTTTGACCATCTAGATGTTATTGGCACTGTTCTAGGGCTGGGTATATAGAAGGGAACAAGATAGTCAAGGTCCCTAAGCTCATGGGTCCTGAATTTTGGGAGAGAGATGAAAAATAAGGAAAAAACAAACAAATAAATAATGTAACTTTGGATAGCCATAGGTGCCATGGAGAAACTAACGCAGGGCAATGGGAAGGACAGTGATAGTATGTGAGGAGTGTGACTTTGAGGTCTGAAAGCCTCCGTGAGGAGATCGTAGCCGAATAGAGGTTTGATGATGTATAGGAGCAAGTGTGAAAATCTGAATAAAAGGCTTTCCAGACAGAGACCAGTATGGAAAGGGCTTGAGGCAAAAATGAGCTTGGTATATTCTGGAACAAGAAGAAGCCACATAACTAGAGTTTAGGGAAATAGGAGAGTGAGAGATGAGGTCATAGAGGTGGGAACAGGCCAGATCCTATTGACTTCTGTAGGCTACGATAAGGATTTTATTCTAAGTGAGAAGGGAATCCATTGGATATTTTAAACAGGGTGTGGCATGATCTGATTTACATTTGAGAAGGAGAAGGATCATTCTGGATGCTGTGTGGAAATTCAAATGTAGAGTCATAAGAAAGGTAACTAGTACAGAGATTAGGTGTCTATGAATTAATTATCCAAGCTAGAGAGAACCAATGAGAAATTGACTCCAGTAGTCTAACTTAGAGATGATAGATTAGAACCCATCATGCTAGTTCAGTTAGAGGTGGTTGGTTTGGACTAGGGTGATAATTACCAATGTGAGAGGAGTGGTTCCCTTTTAGGGGAAGTTTCACAAAGGAAGTGATATGGAGCTACTTGAACTGAACTTTAAATGATGGGTAGCATTTTGACAAGGGGGTAGTCACTTAGTTTATTGAGTGCCTATGATGCACTGCACACTGGACTGGGTGTTGGGGATACAGTAGTGCCGAAGTCCTTGTAGACAATGAGGAGCAACTTGCTGAGGAAGTAATATTTTAAGATACAAAAGTAGTGAGGTGAACAATACGCTTATAAGAATTACTTCTGGAATTAGTTCTAAGGTCGCTTTATTGTTTTCCTTTTACTGTAGAATATTGTATGATGCAACTCCTTTGTATGCTTAACTCTCCTTGAATTTGCAAAAGTGTTAACTTTCTATCAGTAGAAACTCAGTTCACTGTCAGTTGGCAAATTTCATCAGATCACTTCCTTAGAAACAGTGGTTAATATTTATCTTTCTCATTCTGAGAAATTATAGCCTCATTAGGAAGGAAAAGAGCAGAGGAGGATACAAAGTATATAAGTTTTCATATCTAGGTGTAAGTATTACTGCTCATCTGCTTTCAGTCTTGCCCCCTGAATCTTTTCCCAGCTGGTTGACCCAACTTCAACTTTTCCTCCTTCTAATTCCTGTTGTATACTGCCTCCCAAATTGACTGGCCTAAAGCAGTCCAGTCATGTCTGTTCCCTAGTGTCTACAGAACAAATTTCAAATTCCTTAGCCTGACACAAACTAACCCAACCTACTTTTACTGCTTTATCTCTGACTATACTCTCTACTCTCTAATTGTTTTAATTACACTGGATTTTTTTATTTTTCTAAAAATTATTAAACTGTGGTGAAATAATAAAACATAAAATTTACCCCCTTAACCATTTCTAAGTGTACAATTTAGTGGCAATGATTGAGGACATTCACATTGTTGTGCAAAATCCCATTGCATTTTAAATCACACAGTAGGGGCGCCTGGGTGGCGCAGTCGGTTAAGCGTCCGACTTCAGCCAGGTCACGATCTCGCGGTCCGTGAGTTCGAGCCCCGCGTCAGGCTCTGGGCTGATGGCTCAGAGCCTGGAGCCTGTTTCCGATTCTGTGTCTCCCTCTCTCTCTGCCCCTCCCCCGTTCATGCTCTGTCTCTCTCTGTCCCAAAAATAAATAAACATTGAAAAAAAAAATTAAAAAAAAATAAATCACACAGTATTGCTATTCCCCTAATACTCCTTGCAATTTATATTTATATTTATATGATTTCTGCTGACCCCTGAAATGTTTTCCCTTTCCTTATCAGTTAAAGTCCTACATATCTTGCAGACCAGTGCTAGGATCCTACCTCTTGCTTTAGGCTCCTATGAAACCTTATCTGGAAACAGAAGGTCAACTCTGTTGCTAGGTAACAGTGCTTACAGTTAAAATGCCACCTTGGTTGGCAAATTGCATCTTGACTGGGAGGATTTATACATGAACTATAAATACCTGATGGGGATGTGATACTTTGGTCTTTCTTGAGTGATGACGCTTATAATTAGGTGGATTCCTTGCCCCTGGAGGCTAAGTTTACAGAATTGTACAAGAGATATTGCCTCTTATGGGACATGACACTTCAAATCCAGGACCATTCTCACACTCATCCAATATTGATCTTGTCTTCTTGTACCTGAGCTGTCACCTGAGAGGCCTGTGCTGATGTTTGTACCAATATAAAGGACTCTCACTGAAGAGAAACTCTGAAGGTGCCCTGATGGTCAATGGAGTTTCCTCTGTGACATCCTTCTGATAAACCTAAAGCCAAGCATGGCCCATAGTAGTCTTGTGAGTCTGAATGTTTGGCTGGACCTAATAAGAACTGCTTTTGGGAGTTGCATCAAAATGTAGAAATGTTGTCCTAAGTACTAATAACCCTTGCACATCTGGACTCAAAACTGCTGTACATAGGGCCAGGGTAAGAAAGCATTGCTTACCTTTGGAAGGAGCTGGATTGCCTGTAGAATTCTTTGTCTGTGCCCAGAATTAAGGATTCCAATTTCCAATAAATCCTGATCTTCCATAACATTACTTCCCTGAAACAAAGCCAGAAATGTTACAAGTTAATTCAGGCATTTTTACTATGGGTAAATAAAGATTTATTTAATGCAGAGAAAAATAACCAACAAGTGATCTGATTTCTACATACAAAACAGTCATTCTTCAGTGAGGGTGAGGGCAAGTAAGAGGTCACCTATGTGACTGAGTTGAAGGTTCTGGGAAAGCTTCCTTCCCCCCAGAAATGCTCTCATGACTTACTATTTATGGTTGGGTTATCTGTATTGGGGATTCATTCCTGTGGCTTCAAACTCTGTTCCTGGAAGAATGTAAATGCTTCTAGGAAGAGCTGCTGTTTAGGATCATCAGTGATCTGCCTATATGTTGATATGAATGAATCAGTTTTGTCTTCCCCTAAAAATAGATTTTGAGGGGCGCCTGGGTGGCTCAGTTGATTAAGTGTCCGACTTTGGCCCACGTCATGATCTTGCAGTTCGTGAGTTTGAGCCCCACATTGGGTTGTCCGCTGTGGGTGCAGAGCCTGCTTCAGATCCTCTATCCCCCTTTCTCTGCCCCTTCCCCACTTGTGCATGTGCTCTCTGTGTCTCAAAAATATATAAATAATAAAAACAATTTTTAAAATAGATTTTGAGAAGAAAACTGATTAAAAATTATAGCATACTAGGCAGGTTAAAAGTGAGAATTAATAATTAATCTTAAAACACTGAATGCCAGACATCTCTGATCAAGATATGGCGATACAACAATGAATAATTTGCAGGCCCCTGTCTTTATTCTTTCCATTCCAGGTATGGAAACAGATTTTCAAACTCAGTTAAGATGCTGTGAATATGCTATGGTGGTAGCACGTGCTTGGGGGCCCTGAAGGGATCCGGGATGTGTTTTCAGTTGGAGATCATGACTGAAGCCTGGTTAGGACCTAGCACTGAAAAGAGGAAGGACAAAAGTGGAATTATGTGCAATGTCCTATGGGTGAGAAAGAACACAGCACATTTGGAAGCACTGGCTTCTTGGCTGAGTTGGAGAGAGGAACAAAAGGTAAGGCTGGCAAGGTAAGCCAAAGCAGACTGTTCAGACATTGTACACCAGGCTGAGGAATTCAGACTTCATCCTGACCGTAACAGGAAGCCACGGACAAATTTTAAGAAAAGGAGTTACATGATGATATTTCAAATTTGGAAAGATCAATTTTAGATTCTGTGGCTGGGCCTCTGTTTCCTTACCTATAAAATGACAAAGTTGAGCTACAGGGTCTCCAAGGACCAACCTAATCCTGAAATTCTCTGATTTCAATGATATTTTAGGCCTTTGATTAATATTCTAATACAAAAATTTATAAATTGCTTATTTTGTACCTAAAGATTTTAGTCTTTTGTAGTTTGTAAGCTAGAGTTTTCCTTTAAATTGAGAGGTCTGTAGAGAAGCTCAGAACTGGATCACTCCTCTTCTGAACAAATCAAACTGTCCTACTAATGTGTAACACAAAAACACTTGTGAGTAGAAATTACAGAACACATATTTATGTAGAGCGGTGGTGCTGATAGACAGTTAAAGCAAAAGAGAGTGAATTGGAAAGGGCAATCCTGAGAGCATGGAGACTCTTGGGAGGCTATTGTGGTTGTTCTAGAGACAATGTGGGCTTAGACCAAGGTGGTGACCATGGGAGATAGAAAGAAATGGGTGGGTTTGAAAACTATCAAGAAGCTTGATTCAGTGACTGAATATATTGAATGATGGAGAAACGCAGGACACACATTAGTTCTAGTCTTGGGCAGTGGGGGTGGATCATGATGCCTTTTCCTGAGATAATAAAAGAGGATGGGCCAGTCTAGTGTGGTACAAAGTGAGACTAATATCTTTCTCTGTACAGGGACAGAACAGATGGATATAAACAATTTAATATCATACTACATTATAATGGATAATTGATTGTTCTTAGAAAGATTAAAGCTGTAAGAATGGTACCATAGTTAGAGATTTAAAGTGGGCATTCACTGGACACAAACATTCCACCTACTCATGGTATCATTCCTATGCTTAAGCTACCCTGGCCTTCTCAGAGGAAGCAGAACGAGCCAGGTATATAGCAGCATGATAATGAAAAGCCTAATGAAAAACAAATAAAGCCAGTCTTGGCAAAATGCCACAGGAAACATTGCTCTCAAGAAATTACTCTGTGCACACAATAGAGCATGGCTAAGAATATAAATGGCTTCATTTTGAGAAAGTGTTTTTATTTTCAGAAATGGACTAGCATGTCATGAGTAGGATATATGATACCACTCTATATTTGACTTTTAGTCTCTAAAGGGTTTTCCAAAAGGAGTTAAAAGGATCTTAAAAAACAAAAACAGGGGCGCCTGGGTGGCGCAGTCGGTTAAGCGTCCGACTTCAGCCAGGTCACGATCTCACGGTCTGGGAGTTCGAGCCCCGCGTCAGGCTCTGGGCTGATGGCTCAGAGCCTGGAGCCTGTTTCCGTTTCTGTGTCTCCCTCTCTCTCTGCCCCTCCCCCGTTCATGCTCTGTCTCTCTCTGTCCCAAAAATAAATAAACGTTGAAAAAAACAAAAACAAAAACAAAAACAGAAGACAAAAAATAAGAAACAAAAAACATTGTCCATCTATGTGTTAGATCACTACCAGGTTTTCCATGGGCTAAATTACCAGCCTACAACTTCAGCTCATATGAAATGTACTGGTTTCTTTGTGCATACACAAAACAGACCAGAATTCTGATGTGTCTTGTGTTTGTCTTCTGTCTGTGTCTTCTGTTTCAGTAAATATAGATACCTAGTATCTATAGGTAATCCTGAGAATTTGTTTTTAGTGTTTGAATACTGAAATTATTTGAAGAATTAAATCCTTAAAACCACTGTTCTTCTAAACTACCAATATACTGTTTTCTCTATCTTCAGTAGGAAGAACCTTTTTGAAAAATTGTAGGGAAGTTAGACATCTCTTTGGGGCAAATTTCCTAGCATATGGAATAATTACCAAACACTTTTGAAAAATGAGTGAAAATTTGGGAAAGCACAGTGCAAATGGTGAGAATGTGCCCAAGGGGAAATGGTACTAATTTTGGAAACATAAAGAAAAGGATTCACTGTCCCCAATGAGGCATGCTGTTAGAAATTTTCTATTTTCTCTCTTATTGTAATATATAGAGATACCAGAAATATCCTGTGCATCATCTAGCCAGTCTTTTTTTTTTTTTTTTTTTTTTTTTTTTTTTTTTTTTTTGAAACACCAGTAGGCTTGGAATCTGAAGATCTGGATCTAAATCTTGTTTGGGTAAACTTGGTTAAGTCATGTATTATTTCTAGGCCTCATGGTCCTCACCCGTAAAATGTAGTTCAATGAATACTCATTCAGTTCTAAAGCGGTATGATTTCAGTCATGTCCAACTTTTGATTAGTATCTTTATGTATAAATATAGATTGTATAATTTGAAGTTACATTTACATTGCAATTACATTTTAGTGTTTCAGAACTTGCAACCTAAAGATAGCTTTAAGAAGTACAGTTGACTCTTGAACAACATGGGTTTGAACTGCAAGGGTCCATTTAAACCTTGATTTTTAAAACAAATACAGTACAGTACTGCAGATCTATTGGCTTTTCCTTATGACTTTCTTAATAAAATTTTCTTTTCTCTGTTACTTTATTATAAAAATACAGTATATGATACACATAACATGCAAAATCTATGTAAATTGACTGTTAATGCTATTACTAAGGCTTCCTGTCAACAGAAGGTATTAGTAGTTAAGCTTTGGGGGAATCAAAAATTATATGCAGAGTTTTGGCTGCACGGTGCAGGTGTGGGGGGTGAGGTCAGCACCCTGAACCCCTGCATTGTTCAAGGGTCAACAGTAATTACAGAGAAGTGCAAGAATGCACTTTTTTTCTTGACAAATTAATCTCAGGACTAGGTAGGAATTTATAACATTTCTTATTAAAATAAATGATAGAATACCTTAGTTTTGTAATATCATGGATTCTTACAGCTTTTTGGAGAAAAATAAAATATTTCACATCTTGCAACTAACCATTTCATTTGCATTTGGGTAACAGATGTGCCATCAAGGACAATAAACATTTCCATTCTTCCTGGGGAGCTGGAATTTATTCTCATGTTATCACCTGCCTTCACTAAATGTTAGAAAAATCCCAGCTTTTTTTTTCCTCAATAATAGCTGAACGTAAACTCTAGCTTTCTTCCTCCTCCATTCATTTTTCACATGGCTGCTAGATCAATGTTTTTTGGAGTAGAGCTTCATTATGTGTGTCTTCTGCTTAACCATCTACTATACTGCACTCTCTACCTCCTCATCACCAGTACGCGTGCTGTGTCTACTTCCGCATCTCCCATTTACTTCTCAACCCACCACAATAAGCCTTTACCCTCACTAACTCCATAGAATGTCTCTGCCAAATGGTAAGAAAGACTTCTAAATTGCCATATCTAATTGATTCTTTTCAAACCTGATTTCAAAAAAATGCATTGGCCACACGTGGCTGGTGGCTACAATACTGGACAACACAGAGAATTTTTCTGTTATCTTAGAAAATTCTACTAGACAGTACTTCTCCACAATTAAAGGCATTTAAACTATAGTTGAATCACAGAGATGGGGCAAAAATGGGGATTGCAAGGGAATCAGAACAGGGAGTCAGAAATACTCATGAGTCATCCTTAGGATATAATTGATGTGCTTCTTAGTCAAAGTTCATGAACATAAAATTTAAGGACGTTTAGCAAATTTTCTTCTGATTTTTCAGCCATTAGGAAAAAATAGTAGCCATTCTATTTTCATTAGTGTTTCTTTATTACAGGGCTAGAAATATATGCTATCAAAATGACAAGCCCAATTGAGGAGTAATTTATTATTTTGTTAGCATGCTACCAGGCACATTGCACAAGGCGTTTAAGGAATAATAATGAGTAGATAAAGTTGCTTAGTTAATGACCTAATAGAAGGATCAAAGGCCCAAGGCAGTGTTTTTAGAATAGCTGTT